GATGCAGGATCGTTGTTGAAAGAATTATTCGCCTTTTGTTGCTCTTGGAAATGCAATTAATACTCTGGTATCACAGTGCACAGCTCTCAGGATCGCGCTGTCTCCTGGCACAGCTGCTGCAGACCCGTCGCTATCTTGGACCTGAGGTCATTTCTTTTTAATGCCAAATAATATTCCATTATCTAGGTGTATCATAGTTTGTTTAGCCATTCACCTGTTGAAGGACAGTTTGGTTGTTTCCAAGTTTTGACTATTACAAACAAAGCTGCTGTAAGTATTTATGTGCAGGTAATCGTGTGGATGTAAGTTTCAACTCCTTTGAGTAAATATCAAGGATTGTTGGATCATATGTAGGAGTATGTTTAGTTTTATAAGAAACTGCCAACCTGCCTTCCAAAGTGGCTGTACCATTTTGCATTCCCACAAGCAGTGAACGGGAGAGTTCCTGTTACAGCACATTCTCTTCAGCATTTGGTGATGTCGGTGTTTTAGAATTTTGCATTTACAGTATGTATATGTAGTATTTCATTGTTGTTTTAATTTACAATTGTCTAATTAAAGCTTGATACATATTGCCAAATTAAACTTTCAAAATATTTATACCGATTTACTACTGGCACTGTATAACAGTATCTATTTACCTCACACCTTTGTTAATACTGTGTACTGTTTTCTGGAATCTTTTCCTCTTAGTTAAAAGTAGTATATTGTTGCTTTGACTTGTATATTTTGATTAATAGTGAGATTAAATATTTTCTATGTGTTTTTTTGGACGTAAATATTCTTTTGCATATTGCCTGTTCACTTTTTTCTTATTTTCTGTTGTGGGATTGGTCTTTTTATATGCTGATTTGCAAGACCTCCTTTTATGTTAAGGATATTAATCTATTTATTATATGTTGCAAATACATTTTTTGCCAGTTTGTCATTTGCCTTTTACCTCTATTTCATACTGTTTTCTTATGCAGTGCTTCTAAATTTTTATTTAGTGAAATCTGTCAACTTTTTATTGGCTTCGACTTTGGTATAACTGCCCACCTCCTTATGCAGCTACTACACATTTGTCCAAATACCATTTTGCCTGTTCTTTTTGCAATGACTTAAGAAATGGCTGTTTTTATAGTTATTACATGTATATCTGGGATTTGTTTTCTGGTGTATATTATAGACTGTTCTGTCTGTCCCTACAGTATGACAGGTCATATTAATTTCTAGTAGGGCAAGTGTTTATTTTCAGAACTGTTTTGGCTGGTACTCTGGTTTGTTTTCTTCGTGGTAAATTTTAGAGTTATTTTGTCAAGTTAAGTGTACCCACAGCAAAAGAGTAAAACAACCATTGATTTTAATTGAAAGTGCTTTTAAAATACAGAGAATTTTACAATTTGGTATTTCTTAATGAATTTGTATAATTTTTGTTAAAGTTTCTTTATAATTATTTGTAGTATTTTTTTCTATTGTGAAGTCACTTAAATTTTATTTTCTAATGACTTGTTGCTGCATAAATGAAGTCTTGCTTTTTGTATATTGATTTTTCTCTAACCCAGGTACATTCTCTGTTCTTTGGCTTTTTTTTATTGGACTATTATGAAATCTTGGCATTTTTTTCTTTTCTTTTTTTTGTTTTTGTTTTTGACCATTATAAAATCTTGGCATCTCTCTATTCTTTTTGATTTTCCAGGAAGATAGTCATCTCATCTACCAATAATTTTTTGTCTCTTTCAACATTTAATACTTTGCTTAAATTTTACTTACTAAATTTAAATTTTAATTTTAAATTTAAAATTTTACTTCTAGATTAGAGTTAGTATTAATGAATTTTTTGTCTTGTATATATAGTACTTGGCATTTTCCTATTAAATATGGCATTGGTTGTTGGTTTCAGAGAGGTACCATAATAAATTTTTAAGAAAGAATCCTTCTAGTGAAAGTTTTACTAAGAGTTCTTTGCTCCATTTTAAATTAGGAACTGATTGTAAACTATATTCAGATGCCTTTTTTTGTCATGATTACAGTTTTTCTCTTTTCACAGATGTAATGAACTTTATTAGCTTTTTCGTTTTTGAATTTCTAAATAAAAGTCTGCTTGATTGTGATATTTCTCTGTATAGCTTTGGATTCAATTTGTGTAAGCTTCATTTAGGTTTTTTTAATCTCTCATAAGTACAGTTGTATAATTTGTGTATGTGCATGTGCTATGTGCTATTTTAGGTTCTGGTAGCAAGACTAAGCTTTATAAAATCAAGTTGTGATTTTTATGCCTTAACAGTGTTATAACACCAGAGTAAAGGGTTTGGATCCCGGGATTGGCCAGTCACCAAAACAAATAAAAAATTAACTATTACGCTTTCAAATACTCTGAAACTTATAAACAGAATTAAGTTATATGTTTATTGAAGGTTTAATAGACATTATCTAAAGTCCATCTGGACCCACACTCTTTCTTTTTTTATTAAAAGCAATACTTTTAACAGCTTTTAAATTTTCTTTGTGAACTATATATACTGTTTTTATTCAGATTCTGTTGAGACAATTTGCTTGATTTCTGAAATAGTTAAGAATTTATTTTACATTAGTCACATCCAGAAACTATACAATGTGGAAATGAGCAGGGTTGAATTTTATTATTATTATATTTAAGTCAGAACAGGTTTCTTTTGGAGAAGAAATCCGGGTTGGACATTTCCTTGGGATGTATTTACTGATAATAAATTCAGAGAGAAAAATGAATGTCACTGAAGTGGCAACAAAACACTTCTTTTCGGGCCGGCCTGGTGGCGCACTGGATAGTGCGCCGCTTGGGAAGCGCGGCGGTGCTCCCGCCCGAGGGTTCGGATCCCACATACAGACCGGTTCCCGCTCACTGGCTGAGCGAGGCGCGGGAGCAACACCGAGGCTTGCGATCCCGTTGCCGGTCCCCGGTCCGGTACGGGGGCAACACTGAGGGTTGCGATCCGTTGCCGGACACGGAAAAAAGACAAAAAAAAAAAAAAAAACAAACAAACAAACAAAC